GACTATGCCTAGTATAGAGTACACTCAAGAAAAAAATATTGTAATAACACATGTGAATTCAATGCGATATGATAAAGAATTTAGTATAAAGGTTATTTAGATGGAATAAAATTTATATCATACAGTAAATGCTGGAGTCACTTTAATCTTGTACTTTTGTGAAGTTAATTCAGCCTGGATTAGTTACTGAGATGGTGTACTGTGCAGCTTATTAGTTACAATGAGAACATTGAGACTTTAGGAATAAGCAGACTTGATAAGTACAGTATTACTCAATTCTCTAGCAGTCAGGTTTAACAGTGAAACTACAGTTTGGTCTTTCAGCCTTTACTACAGAAAATATGAGCAGAGGAAAAAAGACACAGGTACACAGAGACACACAAAACCAGTCCAGGGATATCTGATCAGGAGTAACTGTATAAGATTTGGCCACAGTGGATCCTTAGCCTTGCTGGAAATACCTGCCTGAAATACATTCTTTAACTTGAGAAAGAATCAGGTCCATAGCGGCAGGATGAAGACACAAGCTGTCATGTTATCCACTGCCCACAGACCTGAGTTAATTACTCTTAGAACAGACTCACAAGAAGAGACATGGCTATCCAGCAACACAATTGTTAAAGTAGGGCCCTATGTCCAGGTAGGTAATGTAATGTAATGTAATGCAATAGGAAGAAAATGATAATTTGAGTATCACATATGTAAGAAATAAAAGTCCTAAACCAATTGTGATAAATATAGAATTTTTTCTAGATTTTGTTTCTTTCAGGTCTTGTGATGTTATTTATTTATTTATTTATTTATTTCATGTGAAAGAACCAACAACAAAAGACCTGTGCACTCATTCTCAAAGTTAAGTTATCCACTGAAATCTGATTTTTTAAAGAGTGATCATCAGCAAAGCTACATCAGCAGAAAAAAACGAATTGGAAAAATTTGCTCTGTGCTTGATTTTGTGTCAAAATAGTTCCTATTCCTGGGTTACATTCACAGCTAACTGTATTCTCTAAGTATTAGAAAAGTCCTTTTAAAAAAGAGCTTTTTCATCAATATTAAATAATAGCCTTGGATGTAGGAAGAACAAAATATCCAATTTAGAAAAATAGGGACCAAATAATATATTTAAATTAAATTACCTTTTAGCAGATATTCATGTTCTTTTCAGGATACCTTAGAAGTGTTGCATAGCTGATAACAAAGGAAGGGGACATTGTTCTGGCAGGAAAAGAGATTAGGGTGTATGGTGCAGATCCAATAAGTTCTGCCTATATACTCTGCATGTAATGCAAAGTTCAGTATGTGACAATGAATGTATTTTGGTGTGTTTATTGATCTATTCATTTTTCAAAATATGTGTAATGGTTATTCTTCCCATCTCTGGTATTCTAAGGCCCAAGTTAAAAAGCAATAATAATATAAGAAAAATTAAGGAAGTGCTACAGATGCACTGTGCCATAGAATTTATATCATATATCCATGTAAATGCTTCATTTAGCATTCTATTACAGTTACCACTGCTGGTCACTGACATAATCCCTTTGAAATATGTGATTATGATGGTTAAACATGGTTAAAAGAGGTATCTCTCTCTGACTGCACTCAGAGAGCACTTGATTAAGCAATCTTAACTACAAATCAAGTGTTTAAGAGCCTCACACTAGGAAAAGCAAAACTCCAGAGCTGAGGAGGAAGTCTGAGCTACCTACAAAATGTAGTGAGAATGAAGGAGAAGATAAAAATATCAATACATATTCTCAAATCCATATACTGTATTATCCTATTTACAGGAAAGAATCTTGGAAATCCCTCTTGAACTGTAAAATGCGTAAGTAATAACCTAATTATAAGCTTTAGGAAAAGCTAATTCTTGAAAGAAAAATGCCTTTTTTATGTGATCAGCAATAGTATTTTGTAGTTATCAAACACAGAAAAATGATAGACTTTTATATCCAATATTGAAATAACACTTGTTTAATGGCAATCTTAATTAAATTTTAGAAAGGGAAGGTTGTAGAAACATGACATGAAAGTGCTGTTTTCATTTGACAGAAGTGAAGACAGAAAACTAAGGAAACTGTTTGTGAAATGGGATGTATAGAGTAAAACTTCAAAGACTTGACACCACTCAGCTTCTAACTTAACCTAGTAACTTTACAAGAAATTATTCATGGACAGATGGGGTATCTTCACTTTGAGTTTTCTATTAAAGTGTTATTTGTATATACAGTAAGCTTCCAGTTTAACACCTTTGATTTCTGGGAAGTGAGTCAGCTATCATGGGTTGCTTTCTTTGGTTGCACAGAAAGCAGCGACAAAAAGAGAAAACGGAAGAGAGAGAACAGGTTTTTCAGAGAAGTTATTCCAGAGAATACTATCCCTGGAAGTGTTCAAGGCCAGTTTGGGTTGAGCTCTGAGCAACCTGTCTAGTGAAAGGTGCTCCTGCCCGTGGCAAGGGCTTGGGACTAGATGATCTTTGAAGTCCCTTACAATTAAGGCCATTCTACAATTCAATGATTCTATGATAATGTGTTTCATCAGACATAAATAGTGTGAAATTGTATTTAACTACGAACAATTTCAATTGTGATTGTACTACGGAATTCTTTTCCTCTAGAAATAGTTCTGTGATGTCTTTTATATTTCTTTACTTTCCATAACAAATTTGCTTAAGCAGCAAGTAAAATGAAAGAGAGAAGTGCATGAAATAGTGACCTTTAAATCTAATAGCATCGTTAAAAGTGTCAAATGTGGTTTCTGTTGAGTTTGAATAAGCCAATGCTGAGATAAAATCTTAATGATGTGTGATTCATTACAATTCAATGAACTGTGCAAAAGATAAGTATGGGAAAAAAATTAGCACTTTGATGTGCAGGAAATTTCCTTAGAGGGATTTATTTTCAAATAAGTTAAAGAATGCTCCATTAAACTTCTCAAAGAAGACAGAAAGCTATGCCAAGGTAACCAAATCCTCTAAGTGAGAGCAATAGAAAATAAATAAAAAAACTCTGAACACACCACATGCTTTGAAGATACATTTGTATTGAAAAACAACTTGGAAACCTTAAAATATAAATGAGAGACAGAAGTGGTAGAATAAGATCCCATTTGGAACACAAGTACTCTTACGGAAAGTATTAAAGACACTAGATTTAGATTTTCTAGTGACAGATTTCTTGGTGAAACTTTAGTCAGCAACTAGAAAACTTTCATTTACAGCAGGAGCCTAACTCCCTTACATTGCTAGAATAAATTATCTGCTTTCACTTCTAGGCTTGTGAATTCAATAAAGCAGTACTGCAGAAATGATTCTCAGCTTGTCTGCAGGCTTAAACACGTACCTTGGAAAGGGGGGGGATCATAGGGCTGTATCCAGAGGTTTGGTGCAGGCCTAGGGCAGGACTTGGAGTGGGTTATTCCAGGAAAGTGTCTGTTCAGTATTGCGTGCTTTGGCACACAAACAAACAAAAGACAGCAGATAGACCCTTCTTAACTTCCTGGAAGCTCATGTTGTCCCAGGGAACGTATTTTGAATTGCTGCCTTTGCAGACTTGTGTTGAAAGTGAAATCAGGTTCAGTGTTCCTGATTCACCCATCACTACTATATGAGAGGTGCTAATAAGAACAAATTTTACTGTTGGTTTACAAGTAGTTTCATGATAATTAGGAGCTCCAATTAATTTAATAACTTCTTGAGGGAATTTTGCATGTGCAGTTGAGTGCTATATACAATATGTAAGCCAAGAAATTAATTCAGACTTAAATGTCACTAGAATTGGTAAAGGAAAAAGGAAAACATCAATACACTGTAAAAGTAACTAAAAAAAGTACTCTGTGGGATACATTTGTTTCAAAAGTCATACACCAATATCAAAAGAGCTAAAGGGACTACTTCATGAGTCTGTCAATAGTTTTAACAAAACATAGACTACATTAAGGTAAAACCTATAGCCATTAAAAGAAGATGGTGAATATCTGAATATCATTGTGTTATCATATCTGTATAAAATTACATTAGTAGCTTATAAAATGATAGTCCAAGAATCCATTATATGCTACAGGGAACTATCTTACAAAGCTTCCTGGAAATCAAACTGGCTATTAATTAAATTAAAATATGGGGTATAGGTCAAACTGGCTTACAGGTCTGAGTAAAAAGGGAGGCTGGTATCCAATATGACATACGAAAGAAACTGACTTATAATACATTGAGTAAGTGGCTGAGAGGAATCCCAAAGACACATTTACAGTTCCTAGAAAATGCAGAAACTTCTTTTTACTTTTAATTTAACTCTAATGCTTATTCTTATCTGCAGTCCTATAATTTTTCTGAAGCTTTGTATCATTTTGTCTTACCCTGAGTGAAACATGTTCGCTCACGATAGAACTCTGCTTGTGAAAATTGTAATGCATTATTTAATTTCCAAGGTTAGTTTTCCTGATATTTTTTTTTAATAATAATATCAATGTTATACTATAACAATAATAGTGAGGCTCTATGAATTTTATTACCTCTGCTTTGAAGAGAAGCAAATGAGACTGAACCAATTGCAGAAGACCAAGTTCAGAACTTAGACCTTGCTTGGACTGATCAATAAGACTATTCAATAAGAATATGTGGGTTATGTGTTTTTTTCCCAGGAGAAAGTGAAATAATCTCATTAAAAGTCACAAATGAACTCAGGTCTCCTGTGCATTTTTAGGTTGCTGACGAGCTTAATGTAAATATCAGAGCTACTTGTAAGCCATCCATAAAGGAAGGAGTAGCAGTTGTTTCCCCTGTTTTGTCTTACCAATCAGTTGTTTGTGCGGCTGGATTTAAAGTTCTTAAATAGAATAAATATGCAGCAAGTAGAACTGATCTATGGTTTTGAAAATATACGCATCTAAAAATTACAATATTTGAATCTGGACAATGACTAGCTTGAATCAATTTCAGTATAAGCTTAAAGAACAAGAAGAAATGTGACAAACATCTATTTTGACATATGACAAACCACACAGTGTGGAAATCTGGGATATATTTATATCCAAAGGATTACTTCCTGTACAGTTTGATGATATTATTCCATCTTTACTTAAACACAGACTTACAGGGTTATTCTTAAGGACAGATGTTAAAAACAAAAAAACACATCAGGTCGATATTAATCGCTGGAAGCCAGGCTTTTAAAAGGGTTTTAAAATAATATGAGCTGGAAGGTATTCTTAGCATATTTACTATGAATGATCTTCTTGTATGGTTAAACATATTTTAGGATACAAAAGCCCTAATATCTTTCTGACAATATAACAGAAGTCATGCAGCTCCTATTTATAATTAATTTCTGGACTGAAATTTTGTCTTGATCTACTAAAAAAAACCTGCCTAACACTTATTCATGACAGCAACATAGAAATACAAAGGAAGAGGAAATTATCAGATAAAACCCCTGCAGTTTTCAGGCCTATCAGTAGACTTTTTGAAACTCAGTCTTACCAACAAGTCTTAGAATAGTACTCTGCCTTATGTCATATCTGAATTACACCAAAATTAGTAAGATGCAATTTCCTGCTAGATTTTTGTAAGACATTTTTACTGTACTGTTAGAAAGTTGTCATTCCATGCTCATCAGAGAACTAAATGCTGTAGATAGAGACTTGAGAGCTTTCTTAAAATATGATATATTATGCTACTTGATCTCTAACAAAGAGTAAAATACCATCTATCAAATTATACTACCTTATTTCTAACAAAGAATAAAACATGATATGGGTTTGTATGGTACTGATGATATAACTTAGACACAAAACAAAAAATGTCAAGAAAAGCCCCTAAACCCCTAATAGCACAACATGACTTAAAATGATCTTGTGTGTATTGCAATTTTTCTGGATGTAATGCAAACAGAAAGAAGAACAACTGGGTATATGATTAATGTTCATTTCTCCCATTCCTTGCCCTCTCACAAAAAAATGCACTGAAAAAAATTGTATCAGTTCTTGTGATCCAGTATTGTGGTCAAGGAAACTAAGTAAGTAAAACTCTGGCTGAGGCACTGTGTGTGGGAAGATACACAACTGTACAGGTATAAATGTGCTGAGGGCAATTCTTTCAGAAAGTTCCATGTGAGGGTCTGACACCCGTTTTTTAAAGACAAATGCTGAGCAGACCTTTATAGTCTTCTGCCATTGGCCCAGTGGCATGGGCAAATCACATGGGTCCCTGGAAGAGAAAGAAAAGTGGGCTTTACAGAAGGACTTGGGAACTTTTTGACAGAGAACAGAGCTCAGGGTATTGACCAATGACCATACCCTTAGACTTGAGAAGAAAGAATTTCTAGCCCACCACAAACTGGTAATTAACTGAATTTTTGTATGGTGAGGTAAGGCTTGCAGAGGTCAATCTTTTGTTTACAGGGCCTGAATCTTTCAAATAGTTTAAGTTACTGTGGTTAAAATTCTTTTTCAAAGTCAGTATTCATTGGCATTCCTACTGTTCTGAAAACAAGCTAGCCTTAGCTGGAAATGTTAGGCAAATCTGTGATCAGATGACTCTGTGAGTCATTAGGTTACAATCCAGAAAGGCTATGACAAAAAAGGGTGTTAGTATACTTACCTGAATCACATCTGTGCACTCACTTGGTTTGGAAACATATCAGCCCCTTAGCAAATAATTGGAAAGGACAATTCCTTGTCTGAGATAGATGCTACAAAAGCATTACTAAAAAGACAAGCGAGAACACAATAAATTTCCTTAGAATGTCAAAAAAAGGCAAATGCAAAAATGTGGTTGCCTAATAAAAGCTCGAGAGGTAAAATTAACAGCATTTTTGGGGTACACAGATAATTAAGTATCTAATAATTAGAACTTGCAGCTGTATTTTCACAAGGCTTGGGCACTGGTGAAACTGGCGCTGTAATACTTAACTGCAAACTTCTAACCTGGAAGTTTTGTCTGAAAGGTGTCGAGTGAAAAAGCTGTTTTCATTCGAAATTGTGATGCTGAAACCACTCTCTAGTACCATGGCACCCAGGTTTACTTGCTCCTTAGCTAGCACTTTAATAATTACTTTTTTTTCTCAGTATATCTTTGCTTCTGTTCTTCTTCCGTACGGTAGGGTGAGTGGCAGACCTCAGACCTCAGCTGCAACACTGTAAACCCTCTGAAACCTCCTTGGATTTAACTACAAAAGTTGAGAGTTGACTCTTCAAGAAGCAGATGTGTATGTCCACCAATGGACTACCTTAAAGTACTTTCCGTGTAATTTTGTCTAACAAAATGCTGGTTTTTCATCTGAGTGACAATTTTTCGGAGACGTAGAGGAGTTCCAAGAATTGGAGAATTCTTGGAAATCACTGAAAGCTTAGTACGTTTAGGTTGTTTTTTTTTTTTTAATCAGGTGATGGGAGCTGTGTCACTCCTGGCAGGCTGTCCTGCCTCCTCGCAGCCGGAGCGCTTGCCCTCAGCGCGGCTCGTGTGGTGACAGAGGCGGCGCCGGGGCGCCCTTTGCTCACCGGCCTGGCAGGAAGGGACACTCGCCCGGGCTGGGCAACACGGGACGCCTGTGAAGCGATGCGCTGGCCCACACAGCGCTCCGCAGCCGAAGCCCTGCCTGCGGGCTTCCCAGTGACTCCTCAGGAACTATGCGGCCCGGCCAGACCGCCCTGAGCCGCGGCGCGGGC